AAACGGACTATTCCATCAGCTTTCATTGTGGGCTCTTAGAGGCGAAACCTAGCCTGTCTGTCACAGTGACCTTCAGCCAGTCACTCGCACCCAACCTAACCTACCTCTCAAGGTTGCTGTGAGGATAAAATGGAGGAATAACATCATCTGCTTTGGGTGTTCATGGGGAAAGGTGGCGCATAGATGAAGTAAATAAAATAATCTAATTGGTTTTCCATCAAACATTTGAACAGCAACTTCTTCATGTGATTAAGCTGAGTGTCGGAATGAAATGTTAAGGTGCAGTTAGATAAGGCACAATCAGATTTCACAGTGTCTTTAGTTGTCCTTAAAAACAGATGTGGGGGTCAGTTTGAATCACAGCTATGGAACTGGGGCTGGAGGGATTTAATCCTTTTCCTCCATCATTTTCCATATAGAAATTTACCTCCCTTGTACAGAAGAAAAGACAATTTGCCTGTCTTTTTTCCCTACTGGAGGTGAAAGCAGCTCGGGGAAGGGATTTCTATCCAAGAAGCAATACAAGAGGAAAGGATTACATCCCAAAACAATTTGGATTGGGGGGGGGGGGATTACTACTGCTTATAAAGACGATTAAACCTGTTGAGAGCCAGTACCACCATGGATAGAGTGTCAAACTAGAATCTGGGAGACCCATGTTCAAAACCCCTGTCTGCCATGGAAGCTTGTTGGGTGATCTTGGGCCAGTCACACATCCTCAGCCTAACCTCACAAGGGTTGTTCTGAAAATAAAATGGAGGCAAAAGAATTATGTAAGCTGCTTTAAATCCCCATTGGGGAAAAAGTCATGGAATAGACTAGGTAAATAAATGATACTAAGTAAACCATTAAAATAGATTCAGGTGAGAGTAGCCGTATTGGTCTGAATCAGCAGAACAAAGTTTGCACCCAGTGGCCTCTTTAAGACCAAGAAAGTTTTATTCAAGGTATAAGCTTCCATGTGCATGAAAGCTTCTGCAGAAGTATAAAAAGGTAAAGGTAAAGGTTCCCTTGCTCAAAAGCCAATCGAATCCGACTCTAGGGTTGCGGTGCTCATCTCCGTTTCAAATCCGAAGAGCCAGCGCTGTCTGAAGACATTTCTGTGGTCATGTGGCCGGCATGACTAAACACCAAGGCGCACGGGACGCTGTTACCTTCCCACCGAAGTGGTACCTATTTATCTACTTGCAATTTCTTGCTTTCGAACTGATAGGTTGGCATACTGCGTGTATACTGCAGAAGTATACATGCACACAAAAGCTTATACCCAGAATAAAACTTTGTTGATCTTAAAGGTGCCACCGGACTCAAACTTTGTTCTACTAAATAAACCAGTCATGGATTTCCTACTTCTCATCTAGTCGTACCCTTAGGTTCTCAAAATGCCTATATTCAGAATGCCAGTTATACTTAATTAATTAATCTTGTAGGGGCTAGCTTGCTCTCCTCAGATCTCACGAGCTCAGCAGGGTCAGCCCTGGTTAGTACTTGTGATAGGAGACCATCAAGGAAGTCCAGGGTCGCTACGCTGAGGCAGGCAAGGGCAAACCACCTCTGAATGTCTCTTCCTTGAAAACCTTTGGGATTGCCATAAATCGGCTGTGGCTTGATGGCAAAAAAAAAAAAAGTTAAGATTGTCCAGTAGCTTTTCTTCTACTACTTTTAACTAGATGTAGAACATCAAGTTACAACATTTCTCTATATCCTACAAGCTTAGCTAATAATGCACAACATTGGATTTTTCTTCCATGTAACCTAAAATCCTGCCCTATGGTATGATAATTTCTTGTCTAAAACTAATATAATCTTCTCTTTGTCTGCTCCCAAGAGAATTTCCCCCATACATGTGATGGCATGCTCACTGAACATGTCTCGTGGCCTCCTACGGTTTTTCCCTTTGAGCTGGATCGGGCTGTTTGGAGAAATGCGGGGTAGCTGCAGATGGAGCATCCATGTTGATCCTCTGCCCACAGCAGAAATGGGGAGGTGGGCGGAGCTGAGTTTCACCTCGACTTTTAGCCCTATGACTTTTTTTCCTAACTGTGGTACAGCTTTGCACCACAGCTCAGCTGGGGGAGGGGGAATGCTGGCCCAGGAGGTCCCAGCATGGTTTTCATTGTGTGAATGCTTCAGTGCTGATGCAGTGGAGGGAAAGGGGATGGGGCAGGGATAGGATTGTGTCAACAGTGAGCCCTGCTTGAATGGAACGTGTGACTGTTTTTCCTGCTCAATACTGCTTCCAAAGCAGGAGCGCCTCTTCCTGCTCCTGTGTAGAAGTAGCCCTTAATACCAGGACTATTTTTGGGCAGGAACGCACAGGAACGGAGTTCCGGCTGGCTCCCAAGTTGGCCACGCCCAGCAGGAACTCATTAGCATAATAGGCCACGCCCAACAACAAGAAACTCATTAGGATTGGCTACATTAGGGGTGTGTGGCCTAACTTGCAAAGGAGTTCCTGCTACAAAAAAAGGCCCTGGGTTTTGACAACAAACAAGGTAAACAGAATAACAAGCAAAAGGTGGGTGTGGCTGGATAACCACACTTCTGGTAACATGGGGTGCTGGGCTTTTTCTACAAAAAGAGCCCTGCTTAATACTCTTCCTCCATGCTTTAGTTTCCTGTGGCCAAATATTCAGTATCCCTGGTTGTACTCAGGTCTGTAGAACTATCGACACTTGACTGTACATTATCACCACTTAAACTCCTCTCAGCCTCATTTAGCTTCTTTGCTACTCCAGTCTTCATGTCTTCTGTCTTATAAAGGAACAGCTTCCCTATATTTGACTGTCCCTCTCCTATTTTCAATATCTTCGTGGTTTAAAAAAAAAAAAACAGTTCAACAAGTTTGTCCTGTATCTCTCTGAGTATATCTTCCCCTTCATGCTTCTATTTATCAGATTCTTGTGATCTGCAGCACCACTGCACCCCAGTTTTGTCTTTTTGTTGTAGATTGTAAGCCCTTTGAGCAGGCACTACATAATTTCTGTAGCATCATTTGGTCTAATTGATAAATGTGTAAAGAAAATTGTTGTCATCATCATTATCATTTTGCTTTTAGCTGTTCACTGGAGAAAAGTAGGAAGCCAATAACTGCGACTGGATAAGAAGACTCTTGCTGGTTCAAACCAGTGGTCCATCTAGCCCAGCATCCTGTTTTACACAGTGGCCAACCAGTTGCTCGGGAGGGCCAACAAACAGGCATAGAGGCCCTCCCCTTATCTTGCCTCCTAGCAGTGTTATTCAAACGTTTACAGCCTCTATATGTGAAGGTTCCCTTTAGTCAACACAGCATAAGATCAGTATTCCAATAAAATGTCATCTTGGACCTCAAAACATATCCTGTTTTTATAAAATCTATAATTGGACCTAGCCCTCTTTTTTTAAAGAGGACAGGTAGTAGTAAGCTTGGCATCAAGGGAGACAAATGACACTGCACAGAGCAGCAGTAGAGAGAAGTCCCACAGAAGTTTCAGTGTAGAAGTATTTCAGTAGTGTTCCAGGGTTAATGGTTGTGGCTTTCAGCTTATATAATGCCTTTACTTTGTTTCTTCATCCACCATAAGTAACACACTGAGATTATTAAGATTGCTTGATACTTCACACAGGCATTTTAAAGCATAACAAAGTGATGTAAATCTCTAGACCTTTAGCACTGCAAAAATCATGTTTATAAGACAGACCATGGTTTGTAGGCTGAGCCCAGCAACCAGTGGGAGGGTTGGAGGGCAGAGACATTGGGGGGTGATGTCTGGTGGTACCTGGAAGTGACAATGGGTAGCTCTAGGAATTGCTGGAAGCTCTATGGTAAAACTCTAATGGTTCAGTTTCTGTCATAAAGGTTTCTTCATTGCTTTCCATTGGCTGTTGTGTTAATAGTAAGATTTATTAATTTTTAGTACATATTATGGCTGGGCTTCAAAGAGCCTGAAGTTCGGGGGGTGGTAATCAACTTACCTCCAGGTGAAGTTACAATTTGAGGCTAGATGAGTGGCAATCCAAGAAAGGGCCTTCTAAGTCATGGCACCAAAATTATGGATTTCTTCCTCAGGGATATTGGTCTGTTTCTCCACTATAGCTGTCTTCCACCAGCTGGGAGACTTTTCTGTTTTCTTTGGCATTCCCTCACTGACCCTCCTTGCCATTTATTTATTTATATGTTTTGTTTAATTGCTTTATATACATATATTTTAATGTTTGTTTTAATGTTTTTGTTTGTTTTTCACCTTAGAAGCTCTAAGTTGGGTGGAAAGACAGCATCATTTTAAAAAATAACAATAAATAATAAAATCTACTCATTTTCAAAAGTGGTTTGCCATATAGCATGGGGCAAAGGACTGTTTAACAAACACAATCCTCCAAAAGCCTGTTTGGGGTTGCAGGATTAGTTGTGTCATTCCTTAGATCCCAGCTGGTATATTTATTTTTACATCATAAAAATAGAGTCACTTTCACATTAATGACCAAACTAGTACATATTTCAACTGGAGACAGAAGGTAGTGTGAGACCAGGCCTCCAGTAGTAATCAATTAATGCTTCAAATGTGAACCTGGATTCTAAGAGCTGCTTAGGCTTATAGAAGGGAATTGTGCTTTTTGAACAGACCCATACCATATCACAAACTGCTTTCGAAACTGTGGAGCATGTAAGATGAGGAAGCACTGTTTCAGAAAACCAGTATAAAGCCCCCTTCTTGGGTTCACAGAAATAACTTCAAAGTTCATTTGGGTCCTAGCCTTGGATTTGGATTCTGAAAATACTTGTGAAGAAAGTGGATTCTGATTGGGAAAATGCCACTACTCTTTAAAACAATTGTAAGAAACACACAAGACTGAGCATCAACTTGGAAAAATTGTTCTAATAAGGATTTGCTGTTCTAAAATAACTGTTTATTGGCAGGGAACAGTAGTACATTTTGAAATGTGCTATCTAAAGAAAACTTAATTACAATTGTGTTCTCTCCCCTCTCTCCCCCCCCCACCTCTAAAAACTCCTGCCATAGCGATTGCATTTGCCTCCAGACTTGTCAGACACAGTGAGCCGCACAAGCAAACAGGATCTGGCAGAATCCACCAAATTGCTGAGCTCGGGATGTAGTGCTATGGCCATAGGCAAGAAGCACCTGGACTTCTAGTGATTTCTACTTAGCAGTTTCACTCCGATTTATATGCCACTCTAATTATGACTGTTAATGACTTGTGTAAATATTTTTTCTTAATGATTTTGACCCAATAGTCCTTTAAAAATCTAACTTGCAAATTGTGTGCCTTATTGTCTTATTTTTGTGTTTGTAAATGTACATTTTTCTACAGTAGACAAATGCATTCTATATTTAGAGGCAATGGCCATTTTTAAAAGTTACAAGATTTTCTGTTGCCATTAACTTCATTGTTGTTGTTAAAGTTCAAGTCAATTACCTTATACACACTTAATAGATTTATTGCAATGTAAATTGTAAATCAGTAGTGTAAATAAAATAGTTCTTTATCATGTGTTGTTTTGATGTCAAACTACCATTGTTCTAGAAAAAGAGTTTTGTTGCCTTCAGAGATCATAGTTAAATCAAAATATGACAAATTATACAATACAGAGCAAATTAAGTTTATGTGCTAGAATATTTCCCACATATTCTTCTCTGTCAGTAATCAATGTAATGAAGAAAATAGTTTTCTTACGGTAAAAGTACATCACAGATAATTAGTTTGCTTTAGTGGTTAATAAATATATTAACGTGCTCTTGAGTGAATTTGTTTTAAAAAGAAAAGGAATTGCTTCTTTAATGTAGTTCAAAACGGTAATCCTGAACAACTGAAGTCAGCACTATGAAATTATGTCAACAGACATTATTCAAGATTGAAATTCAAACTGACAGCTACATTAATGCTAGAAAACCGGGAGAGTGCATTGGAGCTTGGGGAAGAGATATCACTGCAATAAATATATAGTGCAGCCAAAAATAAAACTAATTCAGGATTTCATACTTTTGTGTATATGCTATTTGTAAATGTATGAATATTTCCCATCTAGGTAAAATACATAAATATTTATTGGCATCATGATTTGCATATTTGTATAGAACTAATGTACAAACTAGATGGGTAGATACTACAAAATGGTTTTCAATGGGACCCTGCAAATCTTGTTGTATGGAGTTTTATAAGTTGTCCTTTAGCGCAATAATAGCTCTAATTTAAAAATAAAGAAATTAGCTTCCATAGAAGTTTCCATTAAATTAGTTTTTTAATTAAATATTCAGTCCTTGTCTTAAACTACAATTTAACATAGTTGAACTGAAATATACTCCCCCCAAAACCTCAAACATTGACTGTAATAATGTTAATGTATTTTGATGGGATTTGAGCAAAAGTGTTGGTTAAACGATTTACTTTTTATAATGCTGTAAGTAAAATGAAGACATGGCTTTTAAAACTGTCTAATATGATGAATGTCAATCATTTTAAAAAATCCACTGTACCATAAACACATACTGTATACAGCTTTTATTCTGAATTAGAATAATTGAATCAATGACAGTGATTTGCCAGGATGTCAAATCTATCCATCATATCCTGTCACTACCAGTTTATTTTTTTCTGATCAAAATCAAAAAGACTACTGTTTTGTCATTCACTATTTCATTAGAGGTAACAATTGAGTTTTTTCCTTTCTTTTTTAAAGATATGTCTGTTTTTTAAAAATTTCTAAAGACACAAATCCTTTTTTAAATCTATTCAAAATAAAGTTTCAAGACTGAGCTGTCAGTTTCATAAAGCTAATAGACATCTACATTCTTATTCCCATATATCACTACTGCTTTCAAATTATTTCTGCTTTTACCTAATACATAATATGGAACAGAAATTCTCAACAGAATTTGAATGCGGATTTGTGAGAATATTCAATAAATCAAGGATAACAAAATTAACACTTTACTTACTCAATTATGTTTTTAACAAATAAGCCACAGGAATCTTGTGTAGAATGTAGAATCATCATGATCATTAAATTAGCTTTTAAGTATTATCAAGTATTAAGTTAGTTGTCAGCATCCTTAATAAGATTTGATCAAGCAAACTGTCTGCAAATACCAATGGAACAGCTATTTTCTATATGACTTAACTTACATGACTGCGTGTGGGTGAGTGCAAACATATCTAAATATCCATTTATAAGCGCAACCATTTCAAATAGTAAAATGGGGTTGGCATAGAAACCCAAAGTTTAAAAAAAAGAAAAAGAAGAGATCCTTCAGTAAAATGCACGTTAAATGCTTTTCTGTTTCACTAAGCATGCTATGTGAAATTAGTGTTGCAGCGTACAAATAGACAGTGTTGTTCACCCAAGGCAAGAAAAAGAGCAAAATACTATTCTTCCAAAATACTTTATAACTGGCAGTAATTTGCTTTATCTAGGGAAGCTGGAGAAAAATAGTTACATCCTGTGTGATAAACTGGGTAAACAAACATTCCATAGGATATACTAAGTAATCATCTTGTGTTTCTTCATGCAAAATAAAATAATAAAGTTTTCCATGAACTGTCCTCTTTCTATATCTACCATTTCCTGTACCTTAAATGCAACTGCCTGTGCCCTATACATATTTGTTTCCTATATCCAATGTATAGGCCTCAAGACCTATAAGCTGGCTGCATACAGAGGAATCGCCTACCTGTAGTCTGTTGAGGCCTAACCTACTTTATCATCCCAGAATCACAGGAAGTTCTACCATTATCGAATGAAAGACAAAGCCCACCCAAATCAATACTATTAAACGTCACCTGCATCACCTTGTTTATTTGTTTTGGTTCCTCTAACTAATGTTCAGCACATACACCAGTAGTCAGGCAGTGAACATAGAAGACTGTAGATTGAATCACCTGGTAAATGGACTTGTCTGTTTTTGCAAACAGACAAGTCCATTTCAAGTGCCGAGTCTATTTTCTCCTAGACCAACCTTGAAGCTGTAAGACTGGCTTTCTATTAGCTCCTTTCCGCCCATGACAGCACACACAATAGCAGTTTTGTGGGACTGTAGCATGCAAGGAGAAGGGCCTTAAATCTGCCTCTCCCAAACACATACATACACCATTTTCCTGACCTGAAACAGCCCCAGGGAGCTACTGTTTGCCCTGTTGAGAAAATGTACATTAGTACATGCAACATTCCCAAGTAGCCTTCCTGGAGCCAATTCAAGTCAGAAAAATGACATGGGGTTCCCAGCCTCCAGGTGGGGCCTGGAGATCTCCCACTTTTTTTTATATACTTTCAATTTATTAATTGCTTTCCCCAGTGGGCTCAAAGCGATGTACAGTGACACATTTTAGACAGAGGACTAACAATGTTCATAGGGGATAGGGAAGACAACATATATTCGTTTAATTGCACACGCTGTCACTGCACAGCGTAAACGTCTTCTGGCTTGGCTCAGTCATTTTCCGAATGGCTGCTTGTCGACCAGGCTTCAGGACCCGTGTGTTAAATCGCCACACTGACACCGCCTGGCCGGAAACATCCACTGCAGGGATTTTTGTAGCCGAGATGTTCTTTCGCCTTTTTCCGAACCTCGACCAGGACGTCCCAACCTTCCGCTAACACCCTCCCACAAGGGAGATTGGTGTGTGCCCATCCTCTCTAAGGAGTGGTTCCCATTTTATCTACTCGCCGAAGCTTTCGAATCGCTGAGTGGATGATGAGCTGGGGCCAACAGGCTGGCTGCTCACACCAGCGTGGGGCTCGAACTAACACAGTTCGGATGTTAAGACAGTGGGATATACCCACTGTGCCACCGTTCCCCTTTCCACTGTGCCACTTTTACAACTGATCTCCAGCTCCCCTGGAGAAAATGGCTGCTTTGAAGTGTGGACTCTATGGCATTATACCATGCTGAGGCCCCACCCCAAACCCTGCCCCCTCCTGTATCCACCCCAAAGTCTCCAGGTATTTTCCAACCCAGGCCTGGCAACCCTACCTAAGCCTCGTCCCCCACTCACCATATTGCCATTCCAAACTGGATGCCCCCTGGAATTGAGTTCCAGGGACAGAACTCACAAGACAAGTCTGAAAGTCATCACAGCAAACCTAGAACAGGAGTGGGTAAAATGTAATGTCTACTTTGGCACTCAGACTTCCCTCATATCTCCATGAGTCTGAACTACATTTTAACATTTGTCTCATTCAGGCTAAATTTTTAGAGACTGCTGTTCTACCTTATTTTATATACCTGACAGGCATACTCCCACTTGGATGAAAGCTGCTGAGATCATTGTCCTAAAGGTGAGTGATCCTGTTTGAGTTCAATGTAATTTGAGAGGGTATTTTAAGGGATAATGATATCATTTGCATTTCTGTGGAGGGGAAACAGAGTCTTCTTTGGTTATTTAAATTTTTAGCAAAAGATATGAAGCACCACTTGAGAGGTAAGTGCGTACAGAACAAATACCATTGTGGGTTAATCTGGTTCTGATTTCTCAGGAGCAGCAAGCCAGACCATGACTTTGTTCCTGATTTTGCATTGTCTGACTTTGTTGTGAGTCTGAGAAACAGTTATCAGTGGATTTTTCAGATGAAATGTATGAGGTTTCAACATCAATGCCACTATCACACACACAAAAACAAGAAACAAAAAAACGTGCTTTTCTTCCTAATCCCAGTTGTATGTAGGCTGATGGTAACCATTCAATAACTCATCTGTTCATGGTCAGAGGTTGTCAATTCACTTTCCTAACACTAACCCATGACACTGAAATTGGTTCAGATACTAAGCTCTGCTGAGCCCTCACTCAAACCCTGAAATAATTAATTATTTAACTTTTAAGGAAATAAATTGTTTGGGTTGAGAGTGAGACACTGGATGGTTTTATTTATTCATTTAAAGACCACATGCTTGCTGAAGTAAGTGTTTCTTGATACTTTAAAAGCTTCAGTGTATTTGTTTTTGGCAGTGGATATGTATGAGTTGTCCCCAAATTGTTTCCATTTAACATCTTACATCATGTGGTATGGTGTAACTTCTCAGTGAAAGGTGTGGGGGCTCAGTTTGGTATGCAAGTCATGCTCATGTTCTGTCACATAGAAGCCACTCACTCTGCGCATGGCTGCATAGAAAATAGATAATGCTTCTCAGTTAATACTTAATTGGCTTTTCTGTACTGAGGTTTTGTTCCAGCTTGGCTTCTTCACTGCACCCGTTTTTCCCCTCCCTTATATAGAGTATAGTTGGGGAGGG